GAAATAGTAGTTTTCCTACGAGTTTGAAAAGTCTCTGTTTGCGAACCGAGAGGTTTGCGGCCCGAGCCGAAGGCGAGGGACGTAACGAGGTTCGTAAAGGAGACTTTTCGAACAAGTTCCGGAAAACTGCTTTTTCGCCCGAGGAAGTGCCAGCCTCCCAAAACCACCCGAGGGCGGAAAAATAACATTATACGTGACTTGGGCACCAACATACAACAACCACGCCTTTCTGGCACTCATGTTTGTACTTTGTGCCTTAGTGATGTAATTTAAATTTTTTTTTCGTTGGTTTCCGAATTTTGTACAGTACTTGTGTGGAAAAATCAGTTTAGATGTCGGATTCTTCCGGCCACTGTCATACTTTTGTTTTCTAGAAATTTCACTTTCAGTGAGCAATTTCTAATTTTTTCGATACTTCCTAAATACCATTGATCATATATGACCACAATCCATTCTTCAACTTTAAAGTCTCTACATGATTGAGACGGTATATTTTTCTATTATGTATCAATTTGATGTGGATTCTTAAAATTATTATTATTCGCAGTTCTTACAATCAGATGATGTTCACATAAAAATTTTGTATAAAGCGAGAATCGTATGAGTTTAAAATAATATTTTAATATTAGAAAAAATAACAAGAATGCACTAAAAATGAACCGTCGAACTATGTAAAATGTTACTTCGTTATGTCTTCAACCTTTAAACGTAGTGTGTTTGAGACGTAACGTTTGTAATGAACATTATTGTACATAATTTGTGAAGAGGTCTCGAGTACAATAATACCCAGTACCATATATATACATATATATACACGTATGTATGTATATATATTGACTTTTATAAAAAAAACTTATTGAAAAACACTATTTCTGTATTCAATTTTAGAAAAAGACTTACACATCGATGTTAATCAAGATTATAAAATATATGCCCTGCAAATTTTAGCTGCTGCAGTTACATTTTTTATAATATGACCGTTGATTTCAAGTGCATTCTTGTTATTTTTCTATTGTTAAAATACACTACTTTAAACTCGTGCGATTCTCACGTTATACAACATTTTTATGTAAACATCATCTTATTGCAAGAGCTGTGAATAATAATAATAATTCTACGAATATGAATCAAATTGATACACGGTACAGAAATATACCACTTTAATCATGAAGAGACTTTACAGTTGGAGATTGGGTTGTGGTCATGTATAATCAATGGTATCCACGAAGAATCGAAATAATCAAAAATTCCTTATTAAATGTAAAACTTCTAGAAAAAAAAAGTATGACTGTGGCCGAAAAAACCTAAAACCCAGACTGATTCTTTTCACAGGTACTGTGCAAAATTCGGAAACCAATAAAAAAAATTTTAAAATATGTTTTGAAATGAACCATCATCATTTAATAAATGGAAAATTATTAAGTTAAATTTTTAGGATACATAATTTTTTATCTTGTTAAACATACATGTGTAAAATTTTTCTAAAATTAATTACAGAAATAGTATTTTTCAATAAATTTTTTTATAAAAATCAACTTATGAGTAACTTGTTTAGACTCCCTAATTTCCGTCAATTTCTGTATGATTCACTAACAATTATGTAAAATTCTTAAACTACATTATAAGCTACCTACTTAGTATTGCTATGAACTTTATTTATTATGCTATCGGTAAAACAACGTCGAGGTTTC